TTGTATTGATGTAGCTTCTTTCTTCCCATCTTTTATATTTAGTGAAATAATTACAATTTCATCAACTAAATTCATAGTGCAATATGGTGTTAAAAAGATTTCAAATTCGCAAGCAAATCCCCTCTTTAAAGTCACAATTTGTGGCTCAGTTCTGATTGAATATTTATCACAATTATCTTTGGTTGTTATTTGTACTTTTAAGTTACTTTTTGATGCGTTTCCAACACACAACAATTCTCTACTTTCATTGTCCATTTTGAGATATTCATTATCACTACCAAATCTGATGTCATGCTTATCAACAAGAACTTCGTTACTTAATTTATTCATAATAACATTAGAACGACTTATTTCAAATACACACACGTTTTCAGTGGACTCAATTTCTTTCTTTTTAATAATTAGTACAAATATAAGTATTATTAAAACAATAATAATTAGTAATAGAAATAGTACACATGATATCGGTAATGCAATAACAAGTCCATAATTCGTCTTTTTTAAACATTCGAGTTTGTCGGAACTTAATTTGAATCCATTATCACATTTTGAGCATTGTGAATTTATAGCGGAAATACAATTGGGTATTTGTGTAAAATGAACACATGTGTTATCCACTAAAATGTTGTCTTCATCACAATTTAAGCAGACTTCTCTATCATAACATGTCGAACAATTTTCACTACATTTTAAACACAAATTATAATATTTATAATACCCGTTTGCACACAGAACACATCCATCAATTGTCTTATTTAAACAATTTGTTAATTCATCTTGTGGATTACAATATTTAGTAACATTATTTGGTGTTCTGTAATACGTTTCATTACATGTTATACAACTTCCTTCATTATAACACGTCAAACAAGACTCGTCACATTTTTCACATTGTTTACCATCAGGTGATCGCATATATCCATCTTTACATACAATACACCCGTCATGCGTTGACATCCATATTTCACAAACACCAATTAAATCATTTATTTGTATACAAATCCCGTTTTTTGGAGTATGAGTATTTGTCACATTTGGTGCAATACGTCAAATTATAACAAGACGTGCATGGATATTCACATTTTATGCATTTCATGTTTGAGATATAAAACCCATCTGAACATCTATGACATCCCGCTGGACTTCTATCAATACAATTATCATTAAATTCAGTATTTTTATATATTAAATGTAAACTTGCGA